AAAATTCTCTCTAACCTCAAACCAAACCTGCCATGACAGATTAAAAAACCAATTCCTCAAAAGCATAATTAAGACCTCTTATCCGTATTGCACTTTGCAATTAACTTAGTGCTTCCCTCACAACAGGCCTAGAAATTAGGCAGTGCAAGTATTCCCATGTTAAAGAAGAGGAAACAGTCAGAGAGACTTATACAGTTACATAGCTAGTCATTGTTGATACCAGACCTTGAACCCAAGTCTTTAAACATCAAGAGTAGTCTAGTCTATTATAGCCTTGACATCAAACTCCCAAAAGCAGTATGAAGTGGTTTTTAAAAAAAAGGCTAGATTCATAGTCAGAAAACCTGAGCTTAAATCCCAGCAACCACCTGTGTGACTTTACTTGACTTATTTTAATTAAGTACCTAAACTTTCTGCCTCAGTTTCTTCTTCTGTCAAATGAGAAACATCAGACTAAATGGCCTAAGGTCCCCTTTTAGCTCTAAATCAATGTTTTGACATGTGATTGAATAAGGTACCATTATAGGCAAAGGGATAAACTTAGGATAACATAAGTACCAAAGGAAAGATTTATTTTTGTTAAACTAATATCTCAAAGGTTCGTTTACACTAATATGGTCCTTTTGCAGCTCCTTAAAGGTTCTTCTTTTTTTTTCAAAATGGGACATATATTTTCTGCCAGCCTTATTTACAGAGATTGAAGCTTGTACATAACAGTTTTGCTCAATAGACCTGAACCAAACATGCAAATTGCTCATCAGATCCCAGCCACAGTATTCACTTACGTGCTCATAAAACAAGTTCAGCATGGCAGAGTACACCAAAAATAAGAAAAATACTGTCAGCATGGTAGCTCTATAAGGAAGGTGATATGCCTATTATCAAACACTTAAGGCTATTTCAGGACTAAGATAATCAGTGCTAGGAAAAAGGGCCTGCTCCCAGCTTACCAGAACCTATAAAAGCTCGTGGAAACACAGGCCAAAAGGAAAAAGGTGGGCAGGCCTCACCAGTTGGCACTGTCCAGGCTGAAGTAAACACTGGCTTGCTGCTGGCCTGGGTGCACCTGAATGGTATGTATCACGCCTCTCCTATCTCAGAATGTCATCTCAACCAGCAGGATCCCAGGAAATTAGTCACATAATGAAACAGAATCCTTACTGGGGGACCTAGCTATCGAATTTCATTTAGATCTTGTCCATAGGTCTAACTCTTTTGAATGTATGCCTAATTAATGTTTTCTCCCAAGTCCTCCACTCTGTAGTTCTCTCCCTGGATGTCTCAAATTACTACACTAATAAGCACTTCTCCTAGATAATCCCTGCTTGTTGCAAATACCCCCATCAAAATCTCAACTAAGGGAAATTTTTCCAGGATTTCACCTAGCCAGTGGAATTTCTCTCCAAAAGCAGTAATAAAGACAACAACAACAACACTCTCATATTTTATTTTGTGCTCTTGCCCACTTGGCAGGTTTCTTTCCAAATACTTGAAAGCAACTATTATTGAAACCTAAAAGCTCCATAGGATTCCACTTCCCAAAATACTAATGCAACAGTTTCTAATTATTATTTCCCTAGCAACAAAACAAAACACATAACTCTATAAATAAATAGCTTCCTATAGGAGTCCTGTTCTAGGACTCATCTTCATTCAGTAAAAGGTACATTCTCAAAACAATAAGGTGACAATTATCAGTAGCTTTTTGGATACCTGGCTGCAAAGGAAGGCCTATTTAGCAACTTGTGGTGAAGAGCTGAAGCAGTAACACTGAAGACTTGGTTTTATTTATCTAACACAGTTAAAATGAGAGATTTTGGTCCCACACAACATTACAAAGATTATATAGCTGGGCTGGACTTAGAAATAAATGCCTTTATGGACTGCTGTAGGCACTATACTTTGGGGAGGAGAGCACGGCTAGATTCCCCTCAGTGTTTCCCCATACTGTGCTTTCCCACAGCATGCTGTGGAAGAAGTCCTTCACATGCCAGCAGAATAAATTGTGTACTTCAATTGAAATGGTCCACCATGGGGAATAGCCCTTTACTTTTCAATAACAAAACAATTTCAGAGAAAGGAAAACCACTGTTGAAAACAAAAATGCCAGTGTTTTAGGAAAGGCCATTTCAAACAAACTTGCACTGATTTGGAACGCAGTAGGATGGTCTGGGGAATTAGGCCATCTCAACTCTAAAAAAGGTCAGGGGTGGAGCTCATATGCTTACCTTTTCTTGTCTCATGGAAAACTCCTGATCTGGTTTGGTCAATCCTATCTTCTCTTACTTTCACTAAGAATACTACTCAGAAGAGGTAGTCAGAACTGTTCAACCTCATAGGTAAACAAAATTAATTCATTCCATTAAGTTCTAACATCACACCAAAGTGGAAAATATTAATGCCTTTACCACATAAAAGTATCTCTACATGTTTTTGTTTTTATTTATTTATTTGTATATTTATTTTAGGCAATTGGGGTTAAGTGACTTGCCCAGGGTCACACAGCTAGTGTTATGTGTCTGAGGCCACGTTTGAACTCAGGTCCTCCTGACTTCAAGGTGGGTGCTCTATTCACTGCGCCACCTAGCTGCCCCTTTTGTTTTTATTTTTAAGATAATTAGATCAGCAAACATAATTGGAAAGCATCTTCCCATTCCAATTAAAAAAAAATATTTTGGGAAGAAGAGATATGAGAAGCCACCCCTATCCCCCCCCAACAGGACCAAGTTATACTAAACCTGCATGTCTTTCTTTGAGTTTGACACCACAGCCCTAAAGCTTAGGGAATGAACTACTTTGTGGGGACATGGCTTCATTCTACAAATAATATGCACCAAATGTATTAATATGCTTTTTCTTTAAAAAACTGATCCCCCTTGAATCAGAAAAAAAGACTCATTAATATGCAGTTTGTCAGTAGGAGAGCATGGTGTAGTAAAAGGAGCACCATATTTAGGAAGAGAATCTGGGTTCAAGTCCTGAATCTGCTAGGACCTGAGTAAATCATGCACAACTAGATGGTACAACTACAATCATGGACAACTAGAGTGGGCAGAGCCCTGGATTTGCAGTCACAAAGATGTAAGTTCAAAAGCCAACTCAGAAGTTAGCTGTGTGACCCTGGGGAAGTCTCCTCTTAGATTCAGTTTTCTTTTCTGTAAAATGGGGAAAATAAGAGAACCTACTTCATGGCATAATTGAGAGGATAAAATGAATGTAAAAGTGATATAAAAGTAAGTTATTAATTTATCATTAATTTAACTTGTCTCCATCAGCAAAATAAGGGGTGTGAATTAGAAGATCTCTAGGGTTCCTTCCAGTTTTAAAACTTAAAATGACATGCTGGATTAAGTTTAACTACTGCATTCCTACTGAGAAAAGCTAAACAAAATCACACTGAACCTCTTACTCTCATGAGAGCTATATTCCAAATATTAGCATGATCAGCTTCCATTCCTTCAGCAGCAAATACAGTCTGACACTGGTTCTGTACTTTCAATATTAGTGAAACCTCCCAAAGACTATGTTCTGCTGTCTCAAATTGCAAAAATGCCACAATGAGGCATCAGAATAAGATTTGGGTGAAGGATTCCAAGTACTATGATACTGTGAAAAATGATTATTAATAACCAGTATCTTGGGGAGATTCAGAGATTCCCTCCCTCCTCCCCTCTTTCAAGTCTTTACTATAAATTTGTTTTTTTCTTCAGAAGAAAGTTACTGATAAGAGATTTCTGGACTCTCCTTATCCTGGTCAGCCTAGGATAATTGCAATTGCAAGGAATTTATTGTAAAGTAGGGAAGCCCTATTCAAGCTTCTTTGGTCTAGAGAAATGCAAGGCTGGGAGTGGTCTAGTAAAGCTGGGTGGTCTGGTATGGAGGAATTTTTTTCTATTTTCTCTGAAATGATGATGGAGTGACATCAGCCCCTCTTAGGAACCCTGTGTAACCTAGCCCCAAAGGGAGCTCAGTTTTGACTGCAGCTCAGCCGGCATGCTCCACCACTTATATAGAACTAACCCAATGCTGCTTGTCTTTCTCAGACAGAATAGGGAAAGTTGACAATAAAAACATATGTACATATTCAGAATTTGCAATGTCAGGCTTTGCTTTCTGCTGCCTCTGACAATAAGAGTACATACAGTTGATCCTCCTACATTTCATACAGTTGTTTTAGTAAGAATATCATTGGACAGGACTAGCTGTGTTGCATGGACAACAGTGAAAGAAAGAATAGAAAGGAAATAATATTACTGAAACTGTGTAAAGGTCTAATATCCCAAGTAGCTTTAGTCTTGTGCCTGCACCAAAATCAACCCAAGAGACTGTAAACCATATAAAAACATACTGATCATTGGAGTCCCTTTTTGAAGAGATTTTTGGGTGTTTTTGTTTTTTGCTTTAAGAAAGATTCTGAAATTTCTTTGGGACCCTACAAACCATCTGATAATCTCTCCTAGAATCAGTATTCCTATACAAACAGCATAGTGAGGAATGGTAGATAAAATTCATTCACATTTTCTTTACATGTCAATCTACCTCAGGGGGAAAGCAGCCCACTAAGTGGAATTATTCCATTCTTATTTTTTCTTTTAATTCTCCAAATGCACTAATCTATGTGTTTCTGTTACTTCTATAAAATCTTACACCTTGATGTTGCCAAATATGAAATACGTGGATTTTTTTTTTGGCTTATACTGTTGCCATCTCATTAGGTGCTCCAGTTATGAACAAAGAATATACCAGCCTAATGCTTCAGTAAAATAATAGTATCAGGTTCCATGCTGGGACACTTTTTATAGATAAAAGAGCCTCATAATGATGTCCTTTTGGTAGATCAGTAATTAAACCCCCTTGAATGGCATCCACAGTAGATTGACTTAAGCTTCAAATCTACTTTTTAATGGCCTGAGATTCCACTATATTCCTGTCATTTGAGCTGTGCCTTGATAGCCATAAAAAAAAGCAGACCATCCTGTAACAAACCTAATTATAATTACCTTTGCTCCACAGATGATGAAAATGACTTCTGTCCAAAGGCTGATTAAGGATCAATAGGCAATATTTCAAATTTCCTAAGGAGAAGGGGGGAAAAAAATGAACTGATTATTTTTCGCCTCCATTTTGGTCTTAGTCACACATTGTATTTCAAATAATTAATTGTTTGATCAAAAGAAAAAAGTATTAAAGCAATCACAAACTTTTTTTTTAATTTTTAAAAGGTACTAAAGATTAATAGGATCCACTTTGCCATACAACATTTTCTACACGTTATTTTAATTTTGGTACAACTGGAAGAAAAACCTTTCAGGTTTTTTTTGTCTTTTAAAGTCAATTCCCTATGATGCAATGTTCAAATTATTGGATGATCTACTCATTCTAAGGATCAATTCTCCAACCTAATACCTAGGCTGTTCCTAAGGACACAGGATCCTGGCCATACTTCCCAAAAGGTATCTTTTCTCATGGGAGATGATCCTATAAGCATTTTAATTAAAACTTTATTTCCTGTTCTGTTCCATTACTCTAGTCTAATATGGTAGTTAGATAGAGAAAAGCCAAGGGCAACAGGAAACTAAAAAAAACTTACTAAGCATTTTCTTATATATGTTAATACTTGATATTAATCTCAATCCACTCTTTCTTCTCCAGTTAAACCAACAGAAATTCTAGTTAGAAAAATGTCCCCTAAGCAATATCATGTTTGCTAATGGTACAAAGAAAGAAATGAAAATGGAACATCATCATCACTGCTGACATTTGCTTAACACTTATTCCATGTAACTTAAGAGACTTATAAGAAATAATGGAACATGTTTCTTTTCCTCAGGGAGCTTATAATGGAGAGAAGGATGCATACATAGAAAAGAAAGCAAAGCAGCATATACATATATATGTGTCTGTGTATGCACATATTATATATAGAAATAGAGACATGTGTTAAGTACTAAATAAGTGATATAAACAGTAAGAAGTTAGTCTGGAGCTGAGCCTGGAAAGAATACCTAGTGAAAAGATAGTTAGGAGAACATTCAAGGCAGAGAAAATGATAAAAGCAAAGCTAGGACAAAATCACAGAGAGGGACCAAATTGTGAAGAAACACTAAGCCATTTGAACCTCAGCCTCCTAAATATGGAGAGCCAATGAAGGTTCTTGAGGAACAGTATTATATTCATAAAGCAGAGTTCTGGAAATGTCAATCTAGGGACAATGTTTAAGTGGATACTAGATTATGAAGTCCAGTTAAGAGATACTTCACTCATGTAGAGTCAAGATAATAAGGCTTGGAAGAAGATAGGAGAAAGATGATACTGTTGAAAGAAATGTTTAAAAATCTGAAGCAAAACCAAGTTTTAAGGGAAAGACAATTAGTTTAGTCTTAACATATTTTGGTTTTAGGGTCAATAAGAGAGACATTTGGAGATACTTTCTCAATAGTTAGGGTAACAAGACTGGATTATAGTCAGGGCTATATGCTTGGGAATCATCTGTATAGAAGTGATAACAAATGTTACAAAAACTAGCTAAGATCATCAAGGAAAAGAACACATAGAGAGAAAAGCTGAATATCTCTGTCAGAATCTTGAGGAATATTCACAATTTTTTTTTTAAAAAAGACAGACAGGGGCAGCTAGGTGGCGCAGTGTATAGAGCTCCGGCCTTGGGAGTCAGGAGGACCTGAGTTCAAACCTGACCTCAGACACTTGACACTTACTAGCTGTGTGGCCCTGGGCAAGTCACTTGACCCCACTCCCTAGCCAAAACAATAAATAAATAAATAAATAAATAAAAAAAAGAGGCAAATTTTATTGGGGGAAGGAAGGAGGTAGATCCCACTCCTCCCATATACCTTCAGGGGAGGGGAACCTGAGGCCTCAAAGTCATATGTGGCCCTCTAGGTCCTCAAGTGCAACCCTTTGAGTGAATCCAAACTTCTATAAAACTTGGACTCAGTCAAAAGACCACATCCAAGGGAAATGGAGAGCAGCAACTGTCCCAGTGAGAGAGAAGGTGCCTAGGACAGCATTATTAGGGAGACATTTAGAGGTCTAAGAAGCATCTGGAGATTGCCTATTTTCTCCTCCAGATCTCATAGGTAATAGCCCCTTTCTTCTCAGACCATGGCCATGTAGCTGCTGGCAAAGGTCACAGGAGTTTGGCCCAAAGTCCATGAAGTTGCAGAAACCACACCAGGTGCATTCACCCATCTCGCATTGACGAGGGCAAGACTCCCAAAATTCAATGACAGGTGAAAGCTGAGCTTGCTTGGTGTGACCACTGAACCAAAGATGGCTGAGCTCAACCAAAGCCTACTCAGCACCTTCTTCCCTCTGGAACTTGACATAGACAATGTTCAGTGTGGCCAAAATGAACCAATGTAGCCAACAAAGGAGACAGAAAAGGACAAGCCAGAAAGTTAAGAATCAGGATAATGTTTTCAGAAGTTAGCAATGATCTACTGTGTAGAATGCTGCAAAGAAGAAAAAAAAGGTTAAGGACTGCAAAAAAGTCATTCAATTTGGTGGTGAGAAAAGACATTGTTAAATTTCTAGAGAGAAGTTTGAGTAAAATGATAGAAATCAACACTACATAACAAATGAGCGAAAGGATGGTAAACAAATGTATGTGGTGCATATTATCTACTCTTTTAGGAAGTGTAATGGCATATGGAAAGAGAGAACTAGCAAAGTACTTCAAGAAGATCGGATCCAAGGATTCTTCCAAGTCAGAGAAATGAGTGTCCGTAGCAGAGAATGAGACAGAGAGAATGAAGATGTAGAGTGGATATAAACAGTGGCACAAGATCCTAAAACCAATCTGTTCCTAGAAGGAGAGATTCAAAAACACAAGTGGATAAATTAGTCTTGAGAGGGAATTAGAGAATATGGAGAAGATGTAAGTATCAAAAACTCTTTAAAGCATATCCATAGTTGTATCCCTGGTGTCTAGCATGGAGCCTTGCACATAGTAGGGCCTACAGAATCAAATTAAAACAACCATAATGCCCATGGCAAATGGCCAGATCTCAGTGTAGAAGCAGAGGTTATTTGGCCAAAGGAGGGGTTGGAAGAATGGGAGCAAAGATCTGAGGCATTTGAAAAGACTTTGAACAGCTGCTGTGGGGAACTTGCCAGGGAGATGAATTAAAGGATTGAGCAGTAGCAGTGAGGGCCAAAATGAGATTAGAAAGCACAAATTTGTAGTGAGTTCAATCAGCCTAGTTTCATTACTTTTGCTATCAATGTCTGATGGCATGGAATTAGGAACAGAGAAAAAGAAGTGTGGTGGTGACCCAGGGTTAAGGATTGCTATGTCAAGATGTCAAGGGGTAAGGGTTAGAATGGGCTAAGCTGCATAAAAAAAGTTCAAGAGCAGAATTCACCAAAGCCCAAGAACCAAAAGGAAATTGAGAAAAACATGTACTTTAAATACCCTTCCATTTTCCCCTACTCTGAGATCACTTCTTCCTCCCTGATTCTTTTCCTATTTGAACCCACATCTCTCTAACTTAAATGCTACTGTGGTAGTCAGGAAAAGCATCATTATCTACATGATTGCTCCTTGCAATTAGAGTGTTCATCAAATTAATGTCCGTAAAAGCATTTTGAAAAGTATAAAGCACTATACAAACTATAATTTATTAATACTGTTATTAGTGATATCTAGAGTTGGCTATCTTAATGAATACTCTGAAGAACAATGTCTGACATTTAATTATGTTGGGCTGTGCGCATGGACTATTTTAAACATATACACTAAAATATATCTCCTTTCAGTTGTGTAAACATCAGTTACTTATTAGAGTAAAGATGTTCTCTAAAATGGATCATCCTTTACCATAATTACAAAAGGTTTTCTCACACGCTCAGAGGCTCAAACAACAACAATAAAAACAAGGTAGATGGAACTACACATACTTCTGCCTCCAGGATGACCTAAACCACTTATTCAAAGAGCCCTGGAACCATCTCCAATTGCCTACCACGTTGCCTTGAAATCTTTCTGGTCTTCAGGTCTTGGCACCTGTTGTCACCAACATATTATTTATTTGACTTGGGGAAAATCACTAAACTTCTGTGGATTTCAGGAGGATGAAAGACTTGGAGTACATGATCTCCAAGTCCCCTCATATATCTAAAGTACCCTTTTGACACATGATTTTGACATATGATTCTCAGGAGATTAGAGTTAGGATCAATTTCATCTGACACGTTTGTAAATTATTTGGAAGAGAGTATACCCAGTGAAATTTTCAGATTCACAGTGGAATTAACCTTTTCTAGATAAGCTAGCAATGCCGAGCTAAAATCTTCAATATCTCCCTCAATGCCTATCAAAATATTTTGCACATTAAGGGCACTTAATAAATGAATGTAGAATGAATGAATAAATGAATACACATTTTGAAATTAGATGACATTTACAGATGTAAGCAGAAATGTATTAATGCATAATACTGCAGAAAACATACTATCTAGCATTAGAGAGCAGATCCTAACGCTACAAACAGCAAGATGGATTTTTTTAAGTAGAAAGTTGAAATTAAAAAATCATAACAGATAGTTGAGAGTTGAAAAGTAATCTGTGGTACATACAGTAAGAGCCCATGGTTCTAGTTTGTAGAAAGTCTTCCTCATAACAAGATGCTGAGGAATGCCTTGGCATTATGCCTCCATTTCACTGATTAGGAAACTGAAGCTTGGAGAAATAATATGACTTGCCCATATGTACCCAGCTATTAACTGGCAGAATCAGATTCTAGCCTAGGCCTCCACACACCAGTATTTTCCAAAGATATTGTAGACACAAATTCAAAAGTCAACCACCAACAAAAGTAATCATTTCAAGGTGTCATAATAAATCTTATATGGAAGTTGCAAATTTACCTGGAAAACAGGCAGAATGAAGTGAAAAATGGGCTTGTCCATGCCCATTGCTCTAAAAAAATGCTAATAACCATTTTTGAAAATTTGCTTCAGGGCAGCTAGGTGGCACAGTGGATAGAGCACCAGCCCAGGAGTCAGGAAGACTCAAATTCAAATTCAGTCTAAGACCAGATACTTGACACCTACT